TATATATATTTGTTACTACAATTTTCAATTATTATTTTTATTTTGCAATCTTTAATCAAGTGACTTGGTTTCTTGCAAAAAAAACACTTCTTTTCAATAGAAAAATTGCTCTTTTCATATGGTTTGGAGGTACTATTCTCTCCTTGTGGACTCTTTTTAAAATTCTTATTAAAATAAGATTTCTTATTGTTATTTTGAAATTTCCTATCTTAATATTGGACTACATTATTATCAAATATTAAACTCATTTTTTTCATGAGTCTTTCTTTTTAGATCAAATCTATTATCAAGAATGCTAATGTAATCCTAAGTTGCCTTCTTAAGGAGCTAATAAAGAAGCTATAATTTAGAAGCAAACTTCTCATTAAGATGAGAATTGATTCATCATCTGAAACTATTGATTCTATTTTCAACAATTGTTCCATATGTGCTAAAGGTATGTATGTGATTAATAACACTATCACCTTCTCTTATTTTTAAGGTGTATAATTTGTCTTTTAAATACATCTTACTTACTACATGATGTGATTCAAATATTTTTACTAGTTCTTGTCATGCTGAATTTATTGATGTAGAAGATTGTATATGTGAAACAATGTTGTTTTCTAGGCAATTGTTGATTATTGTTAAAGACAAGGTATCCTTATCTATCCATGCACTTATACTCCCTACTTCTATGGTAAGTAAAGCTGAGGTTCCAATAGTAATTTCAGCTATTGAGGGTTCCATTGGTAAGTGTTCTTCACCACTTACTATGGACCATAACTTTTTAGCCTTAAAAACTAATGTTAATCTATGTTTCCATATATTAAAATATAAACCATTGAATTTTGGAATATGAATAATGTCCAATTTTTATGTCATTTTCAATATCCTTAAGTTGAAGTTGAATAAAAATTATTTATTAATCCATTGTTGATTAATTCAATTTTATCTTTTCTTATTGTTTGAATTTTGCTATTTTTAGGTTTATAATTGCTACCCATGGTTTGAAGAACTTCAAGTTCTTCATCAACCTTTTCTGTTACAATAGATTGTATTATTGTTGTTATTACAATCTAGTTTGTATTTTCAGCAATTTTTTTTCTATATAAAGCATTCACTAGAGTTTTCTAAGGATCAAATATTTCTATCGCTCTGATACCATGTTGGAAACACTTTTTATATATTAATATGATCAATTCTCACACAATATATTGTGTATGTAAGAGGGACACCAAGAGTCACAACTCTGGGTGTAAGGTCACAACTAATGGATTGTATTCTTTACTGTAGATTAGTGTATTATACTGAATATTTCTCCCAATATCTCTACCTCGGAGATGGGTCCAACTTGGAATGCATGGGGAAGGTTGCGGAGTTTGGGACGCTGTGTGTGGAGCCAAGTTCAGCAACGCCCCTGCCATGAAAGAAGGGGTGCAACAGATCCGCGACGTAATCGTTCAAGCATTGCTGACGAAGCGGTTGCAAGTTGGCCATTCTGGGGACCTTGTGTCGGTGGCAAGGGACTCCAACCGCAACGATACCTCTGCTGTGGATGACTTCATCGACAGACCTTGCATGACCATCGGGTCACGATACGTCCAAAATGCTTCCTCATTCATGGCCTGCACTTGGACTTGGAGTTTGCGAGAAAGAGTTGATTTAGGCCCCGGAGCTCTAGCAACTGGTTACCCAGGAGGGCGGCGAAACACATCACGTTTCACCCTTGCACCCGCCATCCCACCGCCACCATTGGAATGCCATGAAGGACACTATCTGCGAGTTTTCCGTGCTGCTGGGGTTTGAGGCCGGGCCTGTCGCTCGATACATGAGGGGGACCAATGCACTCATTCTAGGCGGACGATGTTGACGACAAAGTGGAGGGGGTCGTTGCTCCCAAGCGCTTGGTTTGGGCACAGCCAGGATGGTTCGTCGGCTGGACGGAGGTCTCGCCTGGTTTTGAAGGTGAGTAGGAGGGGTTGTGCATTTGCGTCTCTTAAGGGAGGCGAGGCGCTTTGGCTACGATATGACACCGATGTGGCATCCCCAGATCCCCGGACAGCAATGTAGGGTTTAGTCCTGGGAACTCTGGTGTGCCATCCTGTCCAATCGTATCCCTAGATGCTTGGGTTTGTTACCAGAATCGATGCGACCCTAAAACCAACATAAAAAAAAAGGGGAAAAAAAGGAAAAAAGAATTTAACTTTGTTTCGTCGCCACAGTAACTGGACACATGCTCACTCGGAGATACGACGGCTTCAAGCGCCTGTGGAGCGCTGAAATAGGGCAACTCACGTGAAAGGGACAAGTAGTGCTGAGAACAGAAGCAGCCGTTTCATGGGGAAGGAAAGAAAATAAAACCGTGGGTATCCACATGAGTCACACCATGATTGCACGGGCACACACGTGAAGCTAGCTACATTAACATGAGCTATCCAGACCTACGCACCGCTGACCAACGACGTCCCGGATCCGCATTGCCCACCACTCAGCTTCCTGCTGCATCCCACCTGCAACTGCTCAGTTTGGGAACGTGTAACGCCCGCAGCGGAAGCCACGCAGATCCGTGCGACCACACTTCTTGGGCAGTTGCAACCCGTTGCTCACCATCTGGGCGGGGAAGGAGCTGGACCTGAGCTGAGCGCACATGCAATTCTTGTCCGCCCTGCGAACCACCATGCAGCACTGCGCGGTGGGCGGTGGTGGGCCAGCTCCCTGAATGGCTCGCAGGCACGGGTACAGCGCGTTGGGGTTGCACACCCCGGCAGCGCTGGATTCGGCCACCATCGCCATCACCATCAGCAAACAAACGCTTACAGCTGCGACGCGCCGCTTCGATCCTGCCGCTGCCACAGCCATTGCCGTTACACTCCGAGATCCTGCTGCTGCTGAATTCGGCTCACCAATACCTTGCTGCTTGCTGAGCGGTCAGCCACCAAGAGGAGCTGAGCTGATCTGAGGCGACCTGAGCTGTGCTGAGGGTTGAGGGCTGAGGCCTGAGCTGAGCCGAGCCGATCTGAGGATGATTTGGACCAGGAACAACGCCGCCGTTTGTAGCCTTGGCCACGCAGAAGCAGGTCACATGGCCCTTCGCTATTGTGCGTCAATTTCACTCTGACGGGTCGCTGCACTTCACCTGCACCTCACCGAACTGCATTTGAGGCTCTGACATGTGCGCGCGCAAAACTCGAGGAATTAAATTGCTACCGATGGCTGTCGAATGCGCGGCTATCTAGGTCTGGGCCGGAAGGAGTTGGGGCGTTGACTCCCGGGCGCCGAGTTTCAGGGGTTTGTTGTCACCAAACGTGCAAGCTTTGGATTTCTTCGGAATGGACCCCGGATGAGCGCGTCAGCCACCGCGGTGCCGTACTTTCTCTCCACCTGCCTTCCCCCGCCGCTCAGCACCCCCCCCCCCCCCCCCTGCATTGTGAAGCTGCTCGATGGTCCCCTCATGCAAGCTTGCTGGGTAGCGGCGACACCCTGGCGGCCATGGGCGGAGGTGCGCGTGCGACTACGTGTAATGTCGTTTATTCACTGCTGGAGCTGTGCTGCCTGGGCTGCGGTGGCCGAGTATGCAGCGCGGCTGGAGTGTGCAACGCCAACGCCGTCGTGCGCTGATGCCCTCCCTCATGCCCTGTCTGCGGCCAACTGCGAGCAAGTGAGGGAGCTGGTCCGGCTGCGCCAAGCAGGCAATGCTGCGATGCGGGGAACGAGGTGGACGACAAGCGCGCGTGCAATTAGCGGAGGTCATCGCCGGTCCCTGAGCAGATGGTGTTGAGAAGTGCGGCGCGGGGGTGTGAATGTATTGATGTTAATCACACAAGCATTGATCGAATAACAGTAACACAGAATGTGTTGACAATTGGCTGTGCGAAAGCACTGATTCACTTTACAGGGTCGTCTTCGAGACACATCAAGCACAAGCAATTGGTCTCTAAGCAAACGACAAGTCACATGCTCTGTAAAACAATGACCAGTCTACATTGTACATTAATCTATGCACATAGAGTTCTCATTTCCACGTAGGAAGTGGAATGAACGTATTTATCCAACACTTCCACTCTGTCATTTCAACTTTCTACAGCCAAATGTCACTCATCGTCTCCCACTTAGTTGATGTTGAAAGTTGTAATACCCAGTATGGATCACAGTGGTACAAGGTTGGCAATAGCTAGTCTGGGAAATTGCTCCGCTGGCTAGAAAAAGAAATGTAATTGATGCGATTCTTGCAATTGTCAAGATTGCTTGTAAAATTAGAGCCAAAGAAACCGTAAAGATGAAAATCAAGTGTTTGTCCAAATTGAAGGATGAAGGTTATGGTTTTTTTGAGATAGTGCAAAATTTTCTTCGATGCATTCTAACTCAAATGCTTCAAGGATTGCTGAAATCAAGCTGGTTTGCTGAGAGCAAAAGCAATGACGGATTGAGGGAGGACCATGGCATACATTAAACATTTGACACATTGTGTGTATGGCTTGGTTATTAATGAATCACCTGGTAGATTTGCGGAAATAGTCGATCTAATTTTAGCGAGAGTAGATCAATAACATAAGTGACCGTCGATCGTGAACATGTAAAGAAATGTTACCACATCAAAGACATAATCTCTTATGAGACCCACAAACATGGTAATCTGAGAGAGCACCCTCTGTATTTGCTTAAACATGTGGATGTTTTTGCAAAGAAAGCATTCAATGTTTCACGATTTGAAGCAGACTGAGGATTCTATTGTCATACACGCATCACAGAAAATCCTTTCGCAAGAATTGTAAGCCAGCATTTCAGAAGATTCAAATGTTGCAACGATTTTCAGCAGTATGTGAGCTCAGTGGAAGAATCAAAACCTCAACTTCGGATCTTTGATGCTTCACATTGACAAAGGGCTCAACCCGCATCCGCACTGTAATGAAGGTTCCATTTATGAGCTATCCTTTAAGCTGACACAAAGAACTCCACGCAACGATGACAAGTTTAATTTGTCTCAAAGCTCACTTTAGCATTGTAACATTATCGACATGAAAGGTGGAACAAAACAAAAGTAATCTTTGGCATTTCACTTTTGACCATTAGGAACAGCATACACGCAGTATCGTATAAGCAAGAAGCTATCTGCTATGTACATATCTTGCAGCCTGATCTTGGAATAGCTCATGATCCGTGAGTAATATAGATCATCTATCGATCCAAGTTTTCGGCAGTGACAACAACTTGTTTGTAAGAGGAGCCTTCTTCCACATCAGCGGCATACTTCTCACGGTCGAGCAGCATTTCGTCTTCGTCTCGCTTGTGCTCCAGTTCCTCCTGCGCACCACCCCTTAGTGGCTCAAGGAGACCTCCCGTGTGATCCACTTCCCGCATCTCCAGAACACGGATTATGTTCATGATTCCAGAAAACAGAAGCAGTCCAGCGGCAACAATGGCGAGCCAAATAGCAGTTACCTAGATAAGAACCAGGAACCACAAAGTGATAAGTGGAGATAACGACTCTCTTTTCCCGACTTTGATAATGAAACAAGGACAACGAATAAACCAACATGGGCTTCCCACACACAATGGAAGTTTACTTATTTAATGATGAGCAATCTTTGCAATTGAACAGCACAAGTGAGCATTAAATATTGTGTAAAGATTCGAGTAGGAAGTAAGAGAAGAAAACAAGGATACGACACCTACCGCAGCCTTCTTGGCGATGGGGGGCAGAGTCCATGTCTCATAACTCAATATCGACGCGACGAGAAACAAGGTATTGGCGATAAGCAAAGGCACTGACACGGTTTTTTGCATGAACTGGACCCTGGTGTCGGTATTTTCATACACTTGAAAGGCGTTGTGGATGGAACCCAGAAGCCAGAACGCAGAGGCCGCAATCACCAGGCTGTATGCATGATTCGTCACATATGCAACATCTATTGAGTCGAGCTTTCCCAACGTAATCTGAAGTTTGCACAATGTCTCAAGGACAAAGTTAGTTTTTTCACAAGAAAATGACGAAATTCTATTTTATTCGTTTACAAAAATTCACACAGGCCAAAGGCGCATGAACTTCAAAATTCTTCCTCCGCGACCATTTCCGAAGCCTCAATCAGTTCCAAAATCAGTCCACAGACACCAGTAAACACGTAAAGTCTTGTACAAAACCCCGAAGACCCGTAGCGAGTTGGGAGCATACTCTAAAACTCATGTTGTACACCAGTCACTGTTGCAAACCACAGTCAGCTCACCTGCAAGAAAAAGATGAACCCAACGAGGAAGAGCAAACCACCAATCGCCTGGACAAGGGGAGCAGCAATCTCGATGAGCGCCAGCTGGGGATCCAAGGTCACCAGAGGGATACGGAAGTCGAATCCCGCAAGCTGAGCGTATAAGTCGTGGACGTTAACACAAATAATGAGCACCAACGCGATCAACAGGCACCAAATTCCTACTGGTACGTTCCATCCCGGTAAAAAGAACACCACCCCAATGAGCACCAAGGCTGTGCCCAACAGGTACCCAACAGCGTTGGCTAACTCGCACTCGTACTTCATCGACGCAGGTCCATAAAACCTCGTCGCTCGCACAGACGCCAGCTTCGTCATCGTGCTAACGCACAACCACGCCTCAGAAAACCAAAACTATGCGAAAAGTTTACTGCAACCTGGTGACAAAAATGAGCAGCAATCGTTTCCAGCGACTACGAAGCTCTAGAAATCTCCGTCCTACTCACAAGCCATCGACCATCTGGTGACCCAAATTGCGAGAGAATGGGGATATGCTGGACGAACTCTCTGCTCGCAGTCGCGGCGACACTGAGGGTTCCACATCGTTGCCGTGAAAGGCTGAGTAGGTCACTGCCAGCTTGGAAGATTCCACCTGGCGAGGGTTCAGAGCTTGATGCCCTACCATGCTACGAGTGCAAGGACACGCTGGCATTGAGGGCCACGTGAGAGGGTGAATTCTAGTGTGGTTGGAAACTTGCCATTGAGTTGAAAAGCCTGCATGGCATTCCCTTAACTGCTTTTTAAAAAGGTAAGGTCTCTGCCACTACTACAATACTCCAGACTGAAAAGCCATTGATGAGGAATTCCGGTGACTTGCTATTGAATTCGACAAAGGGGGTTAAAAAAAATAATAGTATTTGCAAAAGTGGATGATCTTGTGGGATTCCATTGGACCCTTAACCTTACTTCTGGACGAAAAGTAGTCACGTTCACGAATTGAATAATCACAGTTTCAGAACCAAACCATACAACCATGCATTCGGATCCCATCAGCAGCATTGCATAGTACAGAAGGACCAGATGGCTATTCCACACATGCATATCTACGTTACAGTGCCTTGGCAATATTTCATTACTTCGAGTTTGGAAGCGTTATCTCATTTCTATCAATTCCCGAACAATTCTTACACGTTCCCTTTCCACAATAATAGGGAAGATACACAGCAATAAGCTGCATTTGGTCATAATGTAAACAAAATTATAAATCCACCACGTATAAGCATTGGAACTCATGGCCTCGACTGGCGCAGCTGTAGTGGTATCATAGTACCCTCTCGGCTGGGGCTCTGGCCGCGCGAGGCTCCTTGAAATTCGGAGCCGCATCCTCAACCTAGATCCGATTTTTTAGGAATGATGATTTCTGCGAATTTTGTTATCTAAATGTGTAGCTTTGTCTAGCACAAGTACTAGTGTAGTGTAATGTATTCTTGGCCGAACATTTTGCACTCAATTGTGAATCATTCCCATCAAAATGGACACAAACGAAGCACGGTAGCAACCCAGGAACCAAATAGAAGATGAAGAGCACTTATCACCCAGCCGAGAAGCGTACTCAACCAGGAGCAATGGAAATCGCGAGAAGGGAACAGGAACAACATACACTTTAACATACCTTTCTAATGAAACACCCACATTCGGGATTATCCTTCTCCAAAACAGAATATGAGGATGTAGCAAAGCTTGTCAACAGAGTGGCCCCGAACCTCGCCAGATTCCTACAGTCATATTACCCGCAAGAATACTTAAATCCCAAATCTATAGATGACCCCACACCAATCCTAGAAGAACCCCCCAGTGATCAACATCCGCAGTCGCCATTGACAGCGGGCGAGCGGAATACTCAAGATACTCAGGACCGCCCCCTTCCCTTAAGAATCTCACTGCCCACGGACCGCCTGAACTCGTACAGGGAACGGATGGACGAACTGGCCAACAACATGGTATTAGCACACATCACAGGTCGTAACAGTACTCCGAAGTACAGTTTTCACAAGAGGAGGGCCGACTACACACGTTGTCGGAACATGGGTACACACTGGAAGGAGGGGACATAACATTCTATTGCTGGTCCCCTTATTTTAATACAGATCATCCCCTCAACAAGTCGAACCTCAAGACCGGAATATGGGCCCAGATTTCCAAACTACCTCCTTTCCTTAGAACTCAAGAGTTTCTGAGAGAAACATTCAGTATTTTCTGCGAAGTTCTGTTTGTAGATGACGCCGATACTTACCTAACCATGCCGTCGGCCCCCACGTTCGAATGCTGACGAACAACTACATCGTCAAGCGGTCCAAGGGATGTGGTCTCCACATCACAGATCCACACCAATCCGCAAGTAACCACCAAACCTAGATCAACAACCGTCTTATGGCAGCCCAAAAAGACACAACAAACCATCAAACCAAACCTCCCGACACCGTCTTTATCATGGGCTCAAGGATACAAAACACCAAAATTCCATGAGAGCTTCTGTTCTATCTTGGCTCCAAGCCGCCCTTCGGAAGGCACAATTCCTCAAGCAATAATTCTTCCTGCCTTCTACCGCTTCAACGAGGCCCTACTTGAAGCCCTGATAGAAACAACAACCTCGCCCTCGAAACAACACATCCACCTTACCCATGGCCTCGAGGAACGATCTTGAACAACACAGTCGGCAAAAACACACATTGTCAACGAAACTATGCTCCATCTTTGGAGTAAAATTGTCCTCAAACAAAAACACATCAATCCAATTCGTTGGTGGGAAGATGCAAACTGGCTCTACTTGTGGACTCACCCTACACCAGGCAAGTCACTCTGTATCCTTGTAACACTCATCCTATGCAATGAAAGCACATGCAGTCTCTGAAACACCGATGGAATGAAATGGACCCTCTTCTCCATGCGACTTCAGAATCAATTACCTCTGTTAATACCCCAACAAGCACAAGCATGGGACCTCTATACATCTGATCTCTCCACATTTCTAGGATGCATATCACCAAAGTTGTCCGAAGATACCTCTTATCCACTCACTGCACATAAAGACATCGACACAGCTTTAGGGGAGTCCAAAACTCTACAAACTGACAGTCATAATAATGAGTGATCATTTAGCACTAGAGTCCCTTATCATACATATGTGAGTCATTAAATTGACTCACTAGTTGTTTTAGAACAAATGGATGCCTTAAGACTGCCTAATTACAATTATTAGGTGAAAGTTAATTTAGAGGATTTTAGATGAAAGAAAATTGGCAATTATAGTAACCTAGACAATATATAAGTCCTAAAGGCTTAAAATTAAATTCTTTTTCATGGGAGAAGAATTATATTGATATTAATTTTTAGTTCTTAGTTTTTTTTTTTATTATTTCTATTAATTCTTTTTCTTCTTCCTTCTTTCTTTTTCTTTCTTTTATTCAAAAAGTTCAAGCTTGTATTTTCAAAAGAAAACAATAACTTTGAGTATTCTCTTAAATTCTTAGAATTATTAAAATCTTTAAAAATTAGTAGATTCATAATCTCTTGAAGTCCATGTTCTTTTAGAAATTTCAAATTGAATTTGGTGGTACAACTTCTACAAGTTCTTTGATAAAATTATAATACCAATAAGTGACTAATTTTTGGCATTTAAATAGTCAATTAACTTGGCATCATAATTCTTTAAAATTATATAAATATTACATTTTTGCATGGATTTGGACAAACAAGAAGGCACTTTTGGAATAAAAATGTATTTTGAATACAATAGTGGCATTAATTTTATTAAAAACATATTTATTGGATAGTAATAAGGGCTTTTAGCCTTGTAATCGGATTTAGATTTAAAGGACCTTGTAAACCGTATATTTTGATTAGGTTCATGGAATCTCAATGGTAGAGATGTAGGCACCATTCTTAGGGCTTCAAATACTTATATAAAAAGATTGGGCAGCCAAATCCTCTCTCTTCTTCTTTATTTTGTTAATGGACAAAGCCATGCTAATTTTTCCCTAGGTTTTGTAAGTGGCTTGGTTATTCTAAATTTTTTTCTTTTTTTATTAGAATCAGGTTTTGAAATTTTAAGAAAAAATGAAAATTATTTTTGTAATTTTTTAAACATAAAAATCTTAATATTTGGATTTTTTATGAAGAAGAAATCTCCAATTTACTAAAAAGTGGTATTCTACCTTCATAGTTTGATAATTCTATATTAATAGGCTCTTTTTTATTGCTTACAAGATATAAAGCAACAAGAATTGTTTTGCTAGAAAGTTCATAAAGTATAGTTTTTAAAAAACTAAGAATCAATCATATTTCAGGACATGGTAGGAGTATTGATTCTTGTGGCAAAAGATCTCTTACTTCCTAATTTAAGTAGTTGAATAAAGACACAACTTTAGAGGACAAAATCAAGTAGATTGAAGTTGCCCAAAGACTCAAATTTTGGAAGATGATGCCATTTGAGGTTAGGATTTCTATAACAAGGTATAGATAAGATATTTATATTATTGATATATAAAAATAGATAGTTGGAACCATTCTTGAGAAGTTATGGAAGTTTCTAGAATTGGAACTAGATTAGTGGACCATGTTGGATCTACTATGGAACATTCTAGAAAGAGCTCAAGGCTATTATCTAGGTAGAGTCCACTATGGAACCTTCTAAAAATGACTTAAGGTAGTTATCTAAGTATGATCCACTATAGAACCTTTTAGAAGGAGTTTAGGATAATTAAATAAATAGGGTCTATTATTTAAGAATATTCTAGAAAGTCTAAGGTAGTAGAATAAAGTATAAATAGAACTAACCATGGCCTTTTGGTGCATCTAGTCAAGTATGCTTTGAACCTTCTCTCTTAATAAAGTTTGGTTTTGTATCTTCATGTTCAATTCTATTTTATTCTATTTCTATTTGCAGAGTTTTGTATTTTATGGACTATTCTATATAATTTTGTTTAGTTTTATTACAATCCATTTGATCATAATTTATGATGAGGTTTTATATGGCTGTAGATTAAAAGAGTCTTGGACTCTCAAGATAAACTGGTCTTGTTTTATTGGTATCAATGTGAGTATTAGACCGTTGTCGTAATGTGTGAAGTCTTGCTTGAGAATGCTCTGGGCACCTGGCTGTAGAAGGAAGAATAGAAATTGCGATAACAAAATCCTAAATAGAATACTAACAATGCTTTAATTAGACTATAATAATAATAAACAAACGTAATCTAATTCAAAACAATTCAAAGAAATTTCAAACAAACAATAAAATTCTTAAAGAAATATTAGAATGATCACAAATTTTATTCAAATATATGTCAATTCAACCTTAATTTAATTCTAGTTAAAACCCTATTGAATTTCATTCAACTTTAGACCAAACCTAATTAAATCTTAAATCCTAATAATTCCTAAATCCTAAGTCAAATCCTAAACAAATCTTAAATTAAACCCTATTCCAAATCCTAAACTCTAAACCAAATCCTAAATTAAACCCTAAATCAAACCCTAATCCAACTCTAAACCCTAAATCAAACTTTAAATCAAATCCTAACCAAATCCTAATCCAAATCCTAAATAAAATCCTAACCAAACCCTAAACCCTAATCCAAACCCTAATCCAACCCTAAACTCTAATCCAAATCCTAAATCCTAAACCAAATCCTAAATCAAACCCTAATCAAATCCTAAATCCTAATCCAAATCCTAAATCAAACCCTAACCAAACCCTAAATCAAATCCTAACCAAATCTTAAACCCTAATCCAAACCCTAATCCAAACCCTAATCCAAATCCTAGTCCAAATCCTAATCCAAATCCTAAACCGAACCCTAGCCAAATCCTAATCCAAATCCTAGTAATTCCTATGACAGACTTAAACCTCAATATCTAATGAATAAACCGTTGATCTCAATTCAAAATTTATACACTTCTTAAAAATCAAGTTCAAAATAAGCAAAAAAAAAATGTGAAAAGGATCGGAGTTACTAAATTGACGAAAACCTCAAAAATATGTTTGGGTGTTAGCCAGCCTCCTTCTCCAATCTTATTGCCAACCTTTCAGAGCCAATTTCTCTTCTTTGCACCGTTCGATTGGTTTCAAATTTCTCATGAACATAGGAAAACAAGTCTTATATCCTCTCACATACGTTTTACTCCAATCCAACTAGTAGATTGCATGAAAACTTAAAAACCCTTGCTGGACCTAAAATTCTACTTTCTGAGATCTTGACTCACTTGAACCTCAATATCTCTCAATTCAACCATTAGATCAAGATCAAATTTACAACATGTATTCAACACAACTATAACCATGAACCCAAAAAAATTCACTTATAGATCTGCAACAAAACTCTCGAAATCACTCAAAACATAAACCCTATTTTATTTCATAAAATCCAAGTCATCCAAAAAAAACCTCAACTTTGCAAAGCTCTTACAAATTCATATCAACTCCAAATCACTTAAAATAAATGCCCATAGAAACCTTATTCAATCTTCTCTCAAAATCCACTCTCCGATCTACCAAAGAGTTCCGGAGTCGTCGTCGAGACTCGGTTTTGTGCCTCAGGGTCTGATTTCGACCCTGGTTCATAATTGGCCCTCTCCGGGTATCAATATCTAGTTTTTCTAAGTAACTTCTTTCTAGAATTTACTCTTAACTTTCTTCTAAAGATTCCTATATCATTTATTTTTCCAATCTACTTTGATTTGCCTTACTTATGGTACTACAAAGTAAGTAGAAGTCACCTTTCTGAAAGGCAGCATTGGTACCTTTTAATTTTTCTACCCTTTTGGCTATTAACTATATTTCTAAGATAATTTTTTCTAATACTTTGAACTAAGATCTCTTAAATTATAATAATCTCCACACTCTTTCACCTATTAATCGTGTTACATCACGACATCCACCCCCCCTGAATCTGTGCATCCTCCGGCATGCACCAACGATTCTTCAATATGTTGATGTAGAATGTTCTTCATCTTGGTACAATTCTTGATCTTCAATATGCTCTTCTATTCCAATCTCAATATCTTGTATTTGAGTTTGTTTTTCATCAAAACAAATGCCTTCATCTCTTTGTTTAAATAACTTGATTCGTTTGCCTGCTATGGGTACCTTCAATTCTGTACCATCAAGTTCTTGTAATAAATATGTTCCATTGTTGTGTGCCCTTTTGACAATATAAGATCCAAACCATCTCTTTGCAAACTTCTTCATAGTGCTATGTTGATTCTCTAAGCTACTATCATAAACTAATACCCAATCACCATCTTCAATAGCCTTGGGTCGTAATCGATGTTTTTTATCAAATCTTTCTTTATTCTTTTTCCTTGCTTCTTTCAATTTTTTTATTGCTATTTCAATATCGTTGGGTCTTCTTTCTAGTTGTTGAATCTGTAATGCTAAAAGTTCTTCTCTGTTGAGATCATTCTTCCAAGGCAATATACCCCATGTAGGTACTACATCTTCTATTGGCATTACTGGTTTTTGACCATATACTAATTCAAAAGGCATATAACCTGTTACCGAACTATGAGTTATACGATCTCTCCATAGTGAAAATGGTAGTAGTCTAGGCCATTCATGTGCTTTTCCATTGCATGCCTTTACTAATGCCTTAATAATAGGTGAATGCCCACGCTCACTTTTAAATTTACCTTCTGGATTATATGCAGTTGTTAAAGAAAGTTTAATTCCTATCCTATTAAAGAATTCTCGTGCTTCTTTTGCATCCAATTCACCTCTATCTGCCATAATTTTTCCAATACATCCATAGCGACAAATAACTTCTTCTAATAGAAATTGACATACACCTTTAGTATCCTTTGTTCTTAATGCTCGTTCTTCAACCATATTTGATAAATCTTCTCGTACAAGTACCAAATACTTCATTTGTCCAAGTCCCATAGGCATTGCCACTAAATCCACCACCCATTTGTAATGTAAAGCCAAAGGGTATGTTGGATGTAACCCATCTCGATGTCAAATATTTGAATATACTTGGCAAGTCTCACAAGATTCTACAAATTTTGCTATGTCTT